CAACTTAAGAAAGAAAATGATGTCACTGATGGATTTAAAACCAAATGAGTTTCATGCGATTAAGAAGGAAAACGATGTTATTGATGTTTTGCATGCCAATGCTGATTACACTTAAACTCGTGCTTTCCCTAAGTTACCCATTGCAATGAAAAATAAAAATAAAACAACAAAACTTGTAGATTCTTCTATATTGACCATATTTTAATAGCAATAGTAACTATTTTGAGTGCCGGAATAGTAAGTTTCCATTCATTCCACTCAAATGGGAATATGATTACTCCATTTGAATATCACCAATACTTCTCATTTTGGATGAACTCACTTTATCTGTCATTTCATAATTTGTCTCACTTAATTTGAGATGTGATTCAATTGAATTAATAATGATTTTGGAAGTGTTTAGAGATTGTAGACAACTCATTCCCCCTTCACGTTGTTGAAAATCCTGCCTAATGACGCAAAACAAAGTAATGTCTGCTTAAGCTTAAGCTTAAGAAGACACCATGTCCATGTGCATATATTCTGCTGGATTTTGCATGTTGTATTTGCTTTTGTCCAAAACTAAGTCAAATTAGGAAGGCGCTAATTGCTTTTAAACCCACCGCCCCACTCCCCCACCAAGAAAATAAATAAATAAACGTGTTCTCATTGCAAAACAATAAATATTTATTATGGATAAGATAATTACAAATATTAATGAGAACAAACGTGCTAATTACAAATGATAACCGGCTGATGTAATGAATTTATTAGTTTATAGAGATATGAGATCTTGCTTCAACGTTATCAATTCAATTATTTTCAATTTTTTTTAAATATATTATCTAATATCCATTTGTTGACTAAGTGTACATCATCATCCATACTTGAGAAAAAAAAATGGTATGAAATTGTTCTTTTAGCATATATGGAAATATCCCTTACATTTATATTTTTTTTAAAAAAAGAAATGAATTATTTTGTACGTATATATCCTATGCGAGCTCAAATGATAAAATATTATTTCATTAATTAATGTTCATAAATGATATTTAAAAAGTAAGTTGCATATTTGAAAATATGATGATGTGATATGTTAAATTTTTTATTTTTTTAATTAAAAAAAAAGAATTATATGCATTTGATTTAGAGTTAGGTACGTGTTTTCATTGTTTAATGAATTCAAATTTTTTCTTCATTCGAATAAGAAACTGATTATATATTGAGATCTGATTGTAAATTAAGATATCCCTAATATTTCATATAAAATTCGCTCAAGTATCGATACCATGATTATAAATGGCATCACAAATTGTGCTTAAGTTTTATTAACTAATGCTGATTAATAAAAAGAATTAACCAGATAATTCTTAAAATCTAAAAATTTTACCATAAAATTATAGTAAATTTTCATAACAATTTTTAGGTGCTGACACTTGTTTTTGTTTTATTTTTTCCCTTCGAGACTTGAAGCTGATATGACCACAATAATTTGATTTTTGGATTGCTTAATCCAAGTATTCATAACTGCCATGGGGCAACAAAAATAAAGGTGGCTCCGCTAGCTCCTCTTCTCCATCCCAACTTAGATAATTATGCAATCAAATTCACATCACCAGTGAAGCAAGAACAAGTTATATACTGAAAATTAACTCCATTTACTATGAAAATTTTACAACTTGGATACTCGACAGCTTTAAATCCTACAAATCTATAACTAGCTGTGAAATTGAACAGGATTTTTTTTTCACTGTTAGGGATCCTCATCTCTCTCTTTTTTTTGACAAGAGATGGTATGCTACAAATAAAAATTTTAAAAATTAACTCGTATAAAAGAATTTACGGGTTCTAAAATGTAATTTTGCTTGAATCTTCAAAAAAAAAATGCAATTTGGGTTATGTTTCCTGTTCTCATAGCTGAACCGGAGGAACTCTGTAATAAGCTGGTATGGTTACAGGGAAGAACACCTGTCTAACTCCTTCAGCC